TGAAGCAGTGGTCGTGCTCTCGCTTTCCAGCCGGGAGGTCGTGCATTCTCTTTCCGTTGGAGTGCAACTTTCGAGAGCACTACCACTACTCCATGGCGACTTTGAAAGCCCGGACGGCACGGTTCATATGCGCTTTACTTCCAGCCAACTTTGACTGCTCACAACTTCCTTGGCAGGTTCATTTTGCAGTTTTAGTTTCCATATTTGTAATCAGCGTTTGAAGCTCTATCGATATATCTGGGTCTCATTCAAAGTTCCATGGGAAGCTTGAATGCCTTTCCTTTGCAAGGCCATCTGCACCTTTGTCGGCCCGAACGAGTGAACCGAATAGAGTGAACTATGTCTAGTAAGCGTTACATAGCCTTCCATGAGTAGCAGTGAAGGTAATTGCAGAAGGAATAAGTACGTGATTTCTTACAGTCGGTCACTGCTGAGTTCTGGCTGCACGAGCCATTCAAAAGGTGGAGTCGATGGCAGAATTACCCAGTAACACAGCATTCCGGGTAGGGTTAGCCGTCGCCTCTGCTGCCACCCCACAACCACTCTCATCATCACGGCTATTTCTCCAGAATTTGGTTTTGAGACCAATTCGCATACTCCGACTCTTCCTACTTTTCCCTCAAAACTGGGTTTCATAAAGTCGTCAAAAACTCATCGAAGACGACCCCTAATTCCCGACAAAGACCGCTTCACCTCCCACAAAGGCGATCCCCATTCGCACTCTTCCAAGTGTTGAACTTGCTCAACCCTAAATAAGGCACACAATAAAATCGCAACTTCGATCCCTTCCCGTTCGAATAGTTTAAAGGGACGGTTGATCCTGATTCCAGAAAACTTGTCAAAAGATTTTCATTGCTCCATCCTTCATTTTTCGGTACGCGCACGTGCATCCCTACTTTCACCGTGGTCTCGTCTCTGCTCTGCAGTGCACCCATCGCGCATCCCATCACACTCATGAATAGCGCAACTGGTCCCGAACTAGTTATTTCCGTCAACAATCGCCTACTGCATGCTTTGGTAGACATGACGTAATACGCGGCGAATTCAGGATATGGCCATTTTCACTCGAAATTATGACAGGAATGGAGGATGAGG